GCACGAACGGTGGGAAATAAAACTTTTAGATAGCCAAGCCCTTCAGCGAATCGACTATTCCGTTTCTTAGGGTGACTTTCCACGACAACTACAACTTTGTTGATTCTAGGGGACTGCCGACTAGGTTTCACTTTCCTCTTCAAGCTACGTGGTCCGTCACAGGAATAGGTATATTTATCCAAAACTCGAGATTTACCAACCAATAGCCTAGCTATGTAGACTGTAATATTAATCGTAGGATCTACCGCCTAGATCTCTTTAATATCCGCGAAATAATAATTGTCTAGAATTACCGGATCAATTAACGCATTATCCGAAAGATCTCTAGTTAGGGTAGGGTTTCTAGGAGATCCAACTTAAGAGTGCTGATCGGTAGTGAAACTAAGCTCTAGGTCGCCTGATTTAAAGCTAGGAAGTTGGTATTTAGAATTATACCTAATATAATCGAAAAGCGGGGGGTAATCAACGTTGCTATAGCCTAGTAGGTCTTATATATATAGGATGTCTTTAAAGTCAAATGCCTCAACGTCTTGATTAATGGACGGTAGATAGCCGAGAACCTCCGGCTCGCTTCGAGCGATTTATGTGTCTGGCTGTAGACCGCCGTGTAAGTAAACCTCCGCTGGCGAACGAATAGGAAGAGGATATCGCTTAGGTCTAGGAGAGTAAAATTTCTGGCCCACTGAAAGACGCTCCCTTAGGTTAGAGGGAGACGATATAGTCGTGATGGAGATAGGACTTAGGTAGCGACAGGGGTTAAGAGGTTTCCACGAAGGCTACGCATTCTCCTAAATAGGATTCTAGGACCGAAAAGCCTCCAAGCGATACCTAGCGCTTAATATATTATGCGCAATAGGAGGCTGAAATGGTCTTAGGGAAATAGTGATAAGAAGAACTTATAGATTAGGTAGACAATAAGGGAGGAGGAAGGGAAAGGGAAGAGAAAGGAGAGCTAAGGGCTTAGAAGAGGAAGGGAGGGACGGAGGTAAGGGGAGAACTTAGAGTAAGTGAACTCCACTACTATTATTCTAGAGGCATTATAAACTCTTTTATACCCAAAAATATACTTACGAGGCCCATTCCGCCTTCGGCGTAGTCTAGAAGGTCCTAAATAGCTCCTGCAACCTAGGCCATAGGCCAAGATATAAGTAACACTAGCTTATAGCGCTAAGGGCTATACTTCTAGCCGCAATCCACGCCACCTTTAAGACTATGCTAGTCCTCGGTTCGTCCTTGATTCGCTCGGAGACTCTCTGATCGTTGGGTCTCGTCGTGGTCAGCACTGGCTACACGATGCAACAAAAGGGTTAGGCGTATATACGGTATTTCCGCTATTGGCTTATCACAACATCGAGCTATAATTTCGAAGGGCCCTTGTCTCGATACGGCGTTGACCGTAGAGACTAGAGAGATACCCAGCGGGGCGCAAAGGTATTCGCGAGCAGGCAACCCAAGGATCTACGACGCTAGGGCTATGCAATATAACCTTAGACGGGGCCGACGGGGCCGACGGGGCTAATAGACTAAGGTGCGTAGGTTCGAGGATAGTATCTAGGGGCTTTATAATAGCGAAGAAGGTCGGCGGAAACGGACAGCGAACGCTCGACGAGCAGCTCCAAGGAAGGGCGAATCAGCTAGTTTCGTCGTATGTAATCTCTACTACTCTCTTTTCCCTTAGGAGAAAGTATATAGGATAGCAGGTGACCAGCTAAAGGCTAGATCATCCTAAGATCTCCATCCTTAGGCGACTAGAGCGTGTGGCCGCTAGTGTCGGCTAGAACAATCTAGGCGGCGGATCGAGCGGCATCTTCGGTGAAATAAAAGGGGCAGTGCATACGGGCTGAAAGGCCTATGCGCGGGAGTCGGTGGGGGCGAGAGAGCAGGAAAAGGGGGCCAAGGGTGGGCAAGAGAGGTGAAAGTGCGTGGGAGACTTAGAGACGAGGGCGAGCGGTCTTTTATAGAGGGAAGGCGGAGGCGCCGGACGGTAAAAGCGGCCACTGCGGCGCTAAGCCCGGTCGGGGGTACCGCAGGGGACGCCAGGCCAGAAGGGGCAGGGGCCAGGCGACACCGGGCAGGCGGTCGGGGGAGGCGGAACGACGGGCTAATGGGGGCCGTTTGTGGCGCCCCGCTTGCCGTCGTGTGGAATACTAAAGATTAATTAGTTAACTTACCGAGGATCTGCTTTAGATATATATCGCCAATAATTGCCTTAATACCTTCACTATATAGGTAGTGAAACCTAATAGGTCTCCCTATTAACCTTGATATAAGTTTAAAGACCATCCGGAAGATAAATTTATACCCCGCGGAGTTCTCTTGGTCAGTGAAAACACGATAGAGCGTTATAACTAGTTCGAACTAGTAAGTAACTAATTATAAATTAGTTAATAGTAACCTTACTTACTTTTACTATGGTTCGTGAGTATTATAGCGAAGATCACCTCATCGATATCCCCCTTCACTCGTTTATAGGATATATCAACCTTAATAGCATCAAGCGTTGCCATAAATTAGAGCTGCTTCACAAAAGCACAGAAGATAAAGGTCCCTTCCGAAGTTTCATAGATCTCGCGAACATATTCCTAGAGAGAACTAGTTACTGACTAGTTGAAAACTAGCTTTGTACTAGTTAATTTACCTTCAATTTAGGTTTAACTTCCATTTAATAGCGTAGGCTAGCTATACCCTTACTAAAGGGGTAACTAAGCGCTCGTTGTTTCTAGAGTAATACTGAAACCTTATCAATCTTTGCAAAGCTAGAGTGGATCTATAATAGCGTTTTGCATTAATATTGCTTGCAGAAATCACGAAGCGCAGGACTACGTAGGAATGTGCCTAGAAGTAGTTAGGAATTAGTTCCTAACTAATTTCTAGCTAGCAAAACGCGTACTTAGCTTAAGGTCTGGGTCTAGATTTTTACAAATCAGATCAAGAACCTCGCTAGCGATTATCCATAGAGATTTAGTAGGCGGCGGCGGTGGATAAGAATGCCTTCCACAAGAGTAGAAGATTGTATATAGGTATCTCTCAGGAAGAAGCGGGATAAAGGTCTAGAATATCATATTGTAAGACCTATGGCTTTAGATTTTACCCTAGCCTTAAGGATGGACGACACCTAGAACTAGTTAGTAATTAGATAATTACTGGTTAAGAAGTAAATATTACCATATAGTGGCCTTCTTAAATTCGCCGGTTCAATCACTCCGTATGTTAGTGGCCTAGGCTGATAAGTAGAGGCTAGAAGCTTCTGTAGAAGTTCTATATTAAGTAATCTCTCTTTCGGAAGAAGAGAACTATAGTAGTGTTGTTAATAGTTCTCTTGTGTTGAATTCGCGCAGCCTATATAATAGCTAGGCACTCCATCTATATTCTAATAGCTAGTTAGTAACTAGTTAGAAACTAGTAGGAATAAGACTTACTCCATAATTATGCTAGCGAATTATAGGTTGACAACCTAGGCAAGAGGTTTTACAAGCGTCACCCCAAAGGAACTTCTTTTTAATTGCGTTATATAGTCTATAGAGATTAGTTTAGTCAAGAACTAATTCGGAATTAGTTTACTTACCTAATACTATTACGCTGTAGCTCTCTATAGCCCTCTGAGAGCGAGGAATCCGCAATCTCTTAGCGTATATTTGTGATTAGGGTCCATAGATCTTTGTCCACTTTTGTATAGGCTAGATATAAGAGTCTAGGATCAATAAACTCGCAGCTCTTGACACCATTATATTTAAAGCGTTTTCGCTCTGTTTGGCAGCCAAGGAATGCGGAATGCACAAATTCTCTTGATCCATACCCACCTATAGCGTACTATATCTAATAACTAGTTAGTAAGTAGTTTATAAATAGTTAATAACTAGTTATTCACTAACAGATTTCATCATAGCTCATAGCTTATCCGGTCTAGATTTGTCAATATTCACGATATAGGCAAACCCTTCCTCATGAGTTTCTGGATACTCTAGAAGTAGAGGCACATACTCAATAACAGTAGCTAATATTGGGTGGGTTGGATGAAAGGTTAATGGTGTTGGAATATGACTTGGCTAGGAATAAATCAGTTTAAAACTAGTTTGGATCTAGTTGTTGTCAATATATATTTACCTCATCCGGGTCAGGAATTGCTGCTTGGAATTCTTGCCAGTCTTCAAACTCATCGACATACTCGCTCGCTGGTTCCGTATCAGGTTCAGGATTAACCTGTATAAGCTCAGTGAGGGTACGATCCTCATAGGCCCTCCAGATATAATCTATACTGTGTTCTATGGTAATTGGGATGATGATAGAAAGAGACTAATAATCTGTGTGGGTAAATTACCGGGTTACCAGGGCATACCCTACAAAATTACATAATTGCGATGAGCACGGACCAAAACTGCCAAAAAAGCCACGTGACCCTTGCAGCGACCTAAGTGCCCACTTGCGATCACCTGGTTCCTCCAGGTCCTAGGTCCCGGCCCATGGGCGACCTATGTCAATGCCTAAGAGGTCCTTAGTTAGCTCCTCTATCTATCGGAGGAACTCGACGACCTTAGGGGGTGGTCTAGCATCTTTCTAACTATTACTGATCTCTTTCAGTAGGTCGTGCGCAGTATAGTTAGCGTTTAGTACGCGTTCGCGGTTCGATAGTAGATTTTTCGGGCCTCCCGGAGCCCCTAACGGGGCCGGCCCAACACCCTTTTGCGCGCGCACCGCTATAATATCGGTCTAACTAGGTCAAGACCGGTGGCTAAATGCAGCGCAGGGAGTTAGATGAAATCTGCCGTTCACAGTTTACCGCTAACTGGAGTGGTTCCTGAGATATTTCAAAAATTCAATTTGGCGCTTGAGTTGTTGTTTGTTGTTTTTTTTTTTTTTTTTTGAATTAAAGGCGGTCTGTACGGGGTCGGAGACTTTTGCGGTGCCACTGTACGACCTCTCTCACTTTACATTGTAAAATATTTTGTATATCCAATTAGCTTATCAAAGGCGGGCAGGTTTAGGCTAAACCTACTGGTGATTCAATCCATCCAGCCAGAGCTTTCGAGCTCTTCTTCAACCTCGGATTCCACAGATCTAGTCAGCTTTGAATAATATCTGCATGCCCTTCATCTGACGCTAGCATAAGAGGAGTCCATCCATAATCGTCTCTCGAGTTCCGGTCGAGATCTTTTCGTTCCACCAGAGCCCTGAAAACGGCGCTGTGGCCTCTCCTTGCTGCCAATGCCATAGGTGTGTACCCATCTTTATCTTTGAAATTGATTTCGAGGTCCACTCGGTCAAGGAGCATGCGAACGATCTTTGCATGGCCCCATAGCGGCTGCCCGTGTGAGACGAGTGCAGCCTTCATCGTCCACTGAATTGGCCTGGACATCATAACGTCCAAGGAGCAATTTTACTATTCTAGGATGACCCCCTTCTGCAGACAATGCCAGATGTGTCTCAGGTGTGACGTTAAAGGAAGTCCGTGAGTCTGCTTAGATGTCTTTGTGTTCTAGCAGGGCCGCACACTCGTGTCCTTCTCCGGTGGCTAGTGCCAGTGGGGTATCCCCGTAACCGTCTTTTACATTTATGTCGACCCCGCATTTTTCGAGAAGAAGCTGCAGGATAGACGTACGCCCCTATGTCGCTGCATAGGCAACCAGAGTTGTACCATGATGGTCGGGCAGATTCACGTTGAATTCAGGACAGCCGAGGGCCACGGTCGCTGCAGCAATATCATTTCTCCCTATTGCCGACCACACAACACTGTCGCTGCGGCCAGCTTGATAATTAGTCTCCGAAGCAGAGCTCGGACTCGGCTCAGTCGCGGTCTTTCCGGACAACGCCGAGCCATGGGGCGGCGAGGAATCCGTGCTCACAATGACTGAGATTGGATCAGAGCTCAGGAGCAGCAATTCAACCCCTCAACAAAGTTGCCGCGCCCCGGGGTTTCTAACATTGAATCGCGTGCACGGCGTTCCTTGGTACCGGAAGGCCGCTAATGCGACCAGATTGGGGGCCAAAATACTAACGAGGGATGGTGCATCTCGAAGAGCGCTAAACATGCACAGGCCGCCTAAACCGTAGCGGTGGCGCAATTTCGCGACGTCACAGGCGTAATGCGTGGGTAATTAGCTTAAGGGCCGCACCGACCCAAACGTCGGCCAGGAACTAGAGTTTCCTCGTGTGCAATGTAGTAGTCATCGCCGGTACGCAAGGTCCGGTCAATAGCAAAATATCAAGAATTATCCAGAAGCATACTTATCCGATCTGTTGCTCCGTGGGGTAATTGTGAGTCTTTCCGATAATTTTGTATTCATATCTAGGGATATATATATCATATTAAATATTGATGCTGATCTAAGTCCGCATCTCTCTGTCAACACTTCAACCTGTATTCGTATGCGCGCCGCAAACCGCCCCGTATCCCCGAACTAATAAACGCCAATCCCCATCCGGCACCCCCGTACCAATTCCGTCTTAGATTGAGTTCACCGCCCAACCGTTCCCAACGCCCAAGCTTCCTTTCACCCAATCATCTCAGGCGATCAGACCCTCTTCGCCATCCGCTACTGCGCCGCTCTGATCGTCCTGCACTCGACTGCATCGCTGTCTCCATATCTGTTCATTGCATTGCTACATCCCATAGCCGTGCATTAAGAGCCGCCCGCTCCGGGTCTCCTCGCACCCACTTCTTCTAAACGACTGTACTTTCCTACTCCTCTTAGTCGCTCTTGCTACTATCAGTTATGCCATCTCACACTCAAGAGTATCCAACTCGAACTTCCAGTTCCTCAAGTCGGGATATGGAAGGACGACCGCGAGCCAACCCTCCCTCATTGGGTTCCCATGTGACCTCTGACTCAGCCCCCCAGCTCCCGCCAGACCACCGTGAAATGGGCCTCGCCACCTATTCTCATGATCGCGGCCATGAACTTGCAACGCGCTCCTTCCTCTTCAGAGATGACCAAGTTCGCTCCATCGCGTTTAACAGAGGTTACCCACCAGAACGCGATCAAGGTGTCTCTGTCCGTTCGCTTGACCATGCTACCCCTTGCTAATCATTTCCAACCATCGCTAGAGCGCCAGAGCAATTGCACCTCTTTCGATGGTCTCGACGGTGTCCAATCTCCTGGTCATATCGTCCACTGTTATACAAACACTTACGTGGATCACTCTGCTCAGATCTTCAATGGCGACGTCGCACGTGCTTATGATCCATCCTCTACTCGAGAGCATCATTTACATGGTGGTTCCGTTAAAAACAAAAGCAAGCTCGTCAATGGGGACCTTGATAGAGACACGTTCCTGGCCATTTTCTGCAACTCTGACAACGGAGCCCGTCAGGAGGGAGGGCGCCGGGAGGGAACCCGCTATCGGCGGCGGGGGCCCCGTGCGGAGGGTCGGGCCGACCCACAACCCCGGGGTTGATCGACCCTATTGTTGGGGTTCACCTTGATTCCCTCTTTCCATGCATTGGTCTAGTCACTGTCTTTCTGAGATTTTCCCTCCTTGTTAGAACCTTTGGACTATCGATCAGCTACCCTGCTCGCTCCCTAGGCCTGGTGATCTCCCGCGCATCCTCGACATTTCCCCTTCCATCCTGTTGTAGAGCAGCTCTGTTTCAATGAACGGTCGGTTTAGCCCTGCCACGATTATGTGTAATTATATAAGAACAGTGCACTCGGTGTAGCCTACCGCTATGTTGAGTTCACTGGCAGGGAGAGAAGACTTGTACTAAGCCTTGCCGTAGACACATCAGGTAAGCACTGCAAAAATACCGAGACCGAACCGGAAGGGTTTCTTTCTCATCTCCAGTTCCTTGATCCTAGTTCCAGGAAGAAGAGCTCGTATCACAAGCGGCGAGTTTAATACAGCTTCCCACCGATCCCTGCTCTAGGGAGTTATCGAGACCACTCAATTGCGCCTTGAGGGCGGAGTTCCAACCCTAAGTACGTCAATTATGAGATGTGGAGCTGGTCTTACGGGGGTTACTCGCTGTTGGCGCATTTTAATCCCCTTAATGTTTTTCATCTCATGTGAAAACATGAAATAATCCAGGATTAGCTGGCAAGTGCGATTCTTTTCCCACAGACTATTCTCTCCGTGGAGCGAGAGACGTAAATCCTACACAAGAAATCTTATAAATATATAGGCACATCATCCACACCAACCCCAAAGCTGACCCAGCACTGGCACCCATCAAAACGCGTTTCATTTGCTGGCAGTGACTCGGGAAGAGCCACGTGGATATCAGGCAGCTAGACTGCGGCAATATCCTCAATATCTATGGATATCCATATATCCCCTCCTCAAACTGCGGATATAGTATATTATCTAATATCCGTAATCCTCAATTTTGTGGATATAGTATACTACCTAATATCCTCTGGATATTTGAGGATATCCAGTGGATATTAAATAGGCCAAATATACCTAGCCTCGTGACTCCTTTAAGTATTTATAGTTTATGCGGTTTCCTGCGTATTTTTTATGTAATTATAGTGTAATTATGAATTTTCGATATTTTAATTTAGTAAACATAATTTTATTATCTCTATATAATATTAACTACCTTAAATTAATTCAAAATCTATTAGGTAACCTAGGTTACTTCCGAATTCGCCCTAACCGTCCCTATATGCCCTTATCTATTAGCATTTCTAGAAGGTCATCGTTATCATCATTAAGAGATTTAGATAATTATTTCTTTAATAGTTTACGCTGTAGTTGCTTACTTTAATTATTATTCTTCCTATTATCTAAATTATTATTGTAGCTCCATATCTATTATATATTCTCTATACTAGGCTCTTAATCCTCCTCTTCGTTATCACTAATTAGCTTAAGAGTTTTAAGATAGGGCATTAGTTTCTAAGCTTAATCTAATAACGTAGCTTCCCTAATAGAGAGATACTCCTTAATAACCTCTATCTCCTTCTACTTAACGCTAAAGTTAGTAGCGAATTAATAAAGTATTAGTCCTTAGATAGTACTTAGTTTTAATTAACCACAACGATAGTAATATATATAGCGAGCGTAATTAAATAATTACTTAACGCTTTATCACTAGCTAGGATTAGACTTCGCCAAAGCCCACGCCAACCCGACCCCAACCCAACCCAACCCGCAAATGGGTTGGGCTTTGGGCCCAGTTTTTGAGCCCACGATGGGCCGTGGGCTTTGCCTATGGGCCCCAAATAATGCAAACAAAGCAGAGACTCGTGACTGCATAATTTATGCAGTTTTCGCCTGTTTTTTTGAGTATTTCCTTTACTTTACTCTCAATTTTCTTTAATGGAAGCCTTAGTTTAAAGGTATACATTTAGAAGCTTACTAGTTCTAAAGGGACTAATCTAATTAGTGCAAAATCATTTGCTTATACGTTCAATGAATTCTTGAAGCTATAGCACTAGAATTCTAACGGCCGTCAGAATTTACTCGGAAAAGGGGTTAGGGACTAGGAGCTCTAACACTAGCTTTTTTTGACGGCCGTTAGAAAATAGGCTTGATTTCGCTATAGTGTCAATCATTAATGATATAACCATTGATCGTCCTCCTGCCGAGGACGCTTCCGCGATCGAACTGACTGACGTATTTAAGTGCTTCCCTCCTTAGGGACTGGTAGAGCGAGAACTGCATCTTCAGAAGAATCACTAGTGTCTCCCTCTCTCTCTTCCTGGGCGCGCTCCTCACTATCACTAATTAGATCAAGTTCAAACTGATCTAGCATCTCTTCCTTTTCCTCTTTTGCTGCTTTAATATCATCTTGAGAGAATGAGTCAGCTAGAAATAATGCCTGCTCCTTATCTATATCAAACTTTAATATATAGAGAAACATCATTAGCTCTTAGATAGTTACTATATATAATCTACCTCGGCGATAGTGATAGATATCTTGGGTAGTATTGAATAGCCGTTCAACCCTAGCACTAGTCGCAGGGACTGAAAGCATATCTCTTATAAGGGCAGTAATTACTAGGTATTTTTGCTAGTGAGCTTTCTAAAAGTCAAGAGGTAAGGAGTCTATAGGCTCTAGAATATATTAGTACTCCTATAGATAAAACAAGGTAAGTAATATACTAGTATCAAGATATCCTATAACTTTATCCTTTGGTTTAGTTAACTGAGGCTTGCGCTTGTTAAGTAAGAGTCCGAGGCGTGAGCCTTTTCTAAGAGAACCCTAAGAGATAGGTAAGGACTATTACCTAGTAATATATTCTTAGTAGGGTGCTAGGAAGTCCTTGAAGCTTTTTCTATATCTTATGCGTCACTCATCGTCCCAGTCCTTGGTTTGGAAGAATTTAAACTTATTTTCTAGCGCTAGTATAGTATATACTATATAAAGATCACTACGGATAGTATCTATTATAGAGTAATAGTAGTCTAGCTTTGCCTAGCTAGTATATAGCGCTTAAAGCATAGTTTTCTTCTATCGCGCCTTCTTTCTTGCTAGCTAAGAGATCGACTGCTCAAGATGCTCAAAGAGGAGGTTGTATATCCTAAAGATATAATAGGAAGTCACATCCTTAGTCTTTGAGAGCTTAGTGGTAAACTCGTAGAAAGGTTGCGTAATCTAAAGAAGATAGTTAACCTAGCGCCACTCTTTATCATTTAGTTGAAGATCACTTCGATCCTATTTATTATAGAAGGGTATAAAGATTAACTAAAGTCTTCTTATACGTCGAAGTATTAGGTATATAGAGTTCCAGCGGGTTTTCACATCCTAGATTGGAATAAGCTTTATAGTATCTAGCTAGAGTGTGAAGAAGGTCTCCTAGCGCTAAGGGCTTATATTAATAAATATAGCAAGGTTACGAACCTATTTTAGATATTAGTACTATATTATAGTGAAGGGAAAGTTAGGTGAAAGCATCTTACCTTACTTAGAGTAGTAGTAATATCTCCTTTCTTTGTGTTTACCTAGGCAGACTAAGATCGCTGCTCTATCTACTAAGTATTAGTGGTGTCATTAATCGGAATCGCTTTTATATATCTAAGTAAATCATTCAAACTTAATTAAATAATATAAGTAAGACATAGAACCCTAATCAGCGTAGTATCCTCTAGGAGTGACTTCTATAATTTAGCTATCAAAGTATCATTATTTAAAGTATTATTAGTAGTCACTGTAAGTACTCGGTTCTAGATTTGATGCTTCTATAGAATACCTAAGAGAACTGCGCTTAGGTTAGCACCAAAGTGCTTTCTATAAATTAGTTTAAACCTAAGAAGGACCTCACAACACTGCCAATCCTTAGTAATAAAGTAGCCACTTATAGCCATAAATGCCTAAGAGAATAGGGAGGTCTAGCAGTTAAGTGCAATTAAAAGCTTTATATTATCAGGAAGCTTTTGGAGGATATCCTACTATCTTAGCTAAATAGAGCTTTATAGCCAACGACGAATAGTCTTTATAGAGGGAATATTTAGTATTAATAGAGCGGATTAGGCGAGTTGAATAAGGCTAAAGAACTTAGGATATTTAATAAGCTAAAATGGAAGACGAGCAATAGTAAGAAAGATAAGAAGCTTTTCTTCCCAAGCCTCTTAGGTAAAGCTTTTCTTATTCGCTATTATTGAACCCTAGGGGAGAGTAAGATAAAATCAAACTTAGGAGATAATCACTTACCTTTAATTATATAAACTTTATTAGGCTAGATTTCTATGCGCTATTATTGGAAGATCTTAGATAGCTAGCGCTTTTGATATACCTTAGCATTATAGAGGTTCTATACCGAGCTATTCCCTCTAGCTTAAAAGAATAGGGATGCTTAAGAATCTAACTATAGCGTTTATATATAACCTTTAGTGCACTATTAGAGGTATTAGCTACTTAATGAAATTGCTTCTAGATATCTAAGAGGTGGACTAAGTCCCATCGTATCTTACTTAACTTCCTATAGCTAGTCTCGAGCCACTAGTTCACCCACTTAGAATGCATTTCTATATTATAGAGAGCAAAGCCTTTCTTTCGACTAGGACCAATAAGGGTAAGAGAGGGAGGTATCGTAGGAGGAAGAGGAGGTAGTCGAAGAAACTTAGTATCAAAGGAATCAAATATCTACTGACTACTCGAAGGATTAGGTATAAATAACTACGCGTTCTTAGGAGTAAGGTAAGTAATATTATTAATATCACTCTTATAGATAGATAAAGAGAAAACCTTAGAATTCTGACTCTAAGATATAGCTATAAGGCAAAAAAACGGTAAGGGGAAAGTAAGGATAGTGTAAGTAGAACATACTTAAAATCTTTAGGACGCTAGTCGTCTATAGACCTATAAAACAATAATTAATCAAGGATATTGATATATCGGAAACTAGGCCCACTAAGCCTAGTTAATACTATATAATTAGTTAATGCTTGCTTATTTTAGAGGGTTAAGCCTAGAAAGCTGGCAAAAGCCCATAGAAAGCCCACAAAAGCCC